TAAAGGCCCTAGTAATTAGAAGTTGGTAGGCGGTGGCCGACTCGGTGGTGTGGCCGACTCGGTGGGGAAATACGTTATTGGCTCTGGCCTCTGAGTCAGCATCCTGGCTGAGTGGGTCCTCGAAAACAGGAAACTGCCAGACAGGAAACCTCACATTTCATATCCTATGAGTACTTTTTTAGCCAGCTTCAGTATCCTCTTTCGCCATGTGTTCCTAAGAGATTGATATACGCGCCTTTTCTTTCTCAGCGCTCAAATGGCCCAGCCCTCCAGGACAGTAATCATCGAATCCAAGCCAATCGGCGAGGGATTGAGTGTTTTTCACGGAAACCTAATGGTGGCGTGCAAAGAAGCAGGACTCCCGTGTTCGATCGACTCTCTACGTCAATTGGATACCGAAGGTAGTTACTGTCTTTCAAATGCTTTTGCATCATTTCTAACCGTAAAGTTCTCCAGAATCTATATCTTGACTTAATATTAGCGTTGCAAGCCCTTCCCGCTTCGCGTATATTACGCTCCGTCAGCGGCAGCAGCAATATTTTCAGTGACTTGTCGCGACTGGGCTCGGCCGTTAATTCTAATGACTTTGATCCTGAAAGACTCTTTCCATTACTGGGTGCTGTCCTCAACAAAGAATCCGATGGCGCAATCTGGGATAAAGTCTATACCGTCGCGGCCGAATCTACACCACCTCCCAGACCGTTACCTTTTCTCGACCAGACTCCCTATTTGCACACAACAAGCAGTTTTGTCAAATCCTCAGAGCATAGGAAGTACGTAGATACCGTGTTGAAGGAGGAGCTAGGATCAATCTACGTCGGGATACCTGGTTTCTACAATGCATACTTTGGGAGTGTTGATGGTCTTGAAGAGACGGGTGCTGCCGTGTTAAGAAGATGCAAAGAAAGGCATACCCCTTTGTTCAACGAAGGAAAAGGCTGGAGGGCCTGGCCCGAAAGTGCTAAGGAAAATGAGGTCTTAGGCTGGCTCTCTACGCTGATCGACGAGGTCCGTGAGATAGCTTCAGAAGAGGGTTTTACCACCGTGTCCGATCGCGCGATTTTGGCACAACCCGGACAACCGTTGCAAGGATCTACAGCCGATCGCAAGTTAGACGTCGGCCTCGTGTGTAACTCTGATGCGGACAGTCGCACACAATACCACTGGTCTCACGTTCTGGTCCTAGGCGAGCTGAAGAGTAACCCGACCGCTGATACTGGCTCAAAGACGTGGCGCGACCTGGGCCGCTATGCGAGGGAAGTGCTCACTGCACAGGATACTCGTCGCTTTGCCTTAGGCTTTACATTGTGCGGACCCAATATGCGACTCTGGGAGTTTGATCGCGTAGGAGCTATCGCATCATCGCCCTTTGATATCAATAAAGATGGACTCCGGTTTGTTTCAGTTATGCTGGGATTCCTGCGGATGAATGATGAACAGTTAGGATATGATCCCAGCATCATGTTGACCTCGAATGGGAAGAGATTCATTGAGATCATACGCGACGGACAGTCGGAATGCCTCATTCTCGACAGCCTTATGAAACGCTCCCCGTGTGTGGCTGGCAGAGCTACGACTTGCTGGAAGGCTTACCGTGAAGGGGATAAGGAGAATGCGCCACTGGTTATTAAAGACTCATGGCAGTATCCGGAGCGAGTGGAGGAAGGCAAACTTTTGGCAGAAGCAACAGAGAGAGGCGTGGTCAATGTAGCAAGGTATTACTACCATGAAACGGTTCAAGTGGGTAGAAATGTCGATGATATCCGTGGCAACGTGCGGAAAGGACTTGATGTGACCCAGGGAACAAATTATTGACCGGTACGTTCCGATACTCCCTTGACTGTGGATGACACTGCGGGCTCGGCAAGTATGGGTCATCCCACGACGAGTAGCATTGGACGCAAAAGGCCATGCAGCCAGACCGACATAACTCTGCCTCCTAGCAAACGCACCTACTCTAGCTCCCCGACCAAAGGTGGGCACGGTCCTACCGTACAGAATAGAATACATCGTCGTGTGGTTATCCGAGACTATGGGATACCCATATATAAAGCAAAGTCTCGCGTCTCAATGTTATCCGGGTTTGAGAACTGCATAGAAGGTGAGTGGATTACCTGGTAGGTTATACATTTCACAATTAACTGAAGAAGGTTACGAATCACTGCATACAAAGACGGGGCTTTTACAAGGTGACATCTCCACTGGAAATCTGATTGTCAATGAGGAAGAAACCCGATCCTGGCAAGCCTTTCTAATTGACCTGGACCTTGCCATCGAGGAGCAACGAGAGCGACCTTCTGGAGCTCGAGGTAAGACAGGGACCAGGGCTTTTATGGCTGTCGGTCTCCTTTTGGGAGAAAGACACACTTTCAACCATGACTTGGAGTCTTTTTTCTGGGTTCTCTTTTGGATTTGTATCCATTACAATGGACGAGAGAGCAAGAACAAGACAGTGCCCCAATTCGAAAAATGGAATTATGTTGACATGGAAGAATTGGCTAAGCTTAAATTGGGAACAATCTCGGATAAGGATGTCTTCAAAAGCACCATAGAGGCGAATTTCACGGAATATTACCAGCCGTTGGTACCGTGGGTTCTAGAATTGCGAAAAGTGGTTTTCCCCAACGGAAGCATACGAAAGAGAGAAGATAAAGGGATATATTTGCGGATGCGCCAGATCCTCAAAAGTGCTCAAATGGATCAAAATATCCTGGAATAAGCTCTTGTCCATAAATGGTACTGTAACGCCGTTTAGAGTAGCTCGTTGTTGACATCTCTCCATACTTACTTTTTCCGTTCTACTTTTTCTTCACTTAATTAGATATCCCCTGTTCTTTCAAAAGCCTGTCCGGCCATAACTTGTCCGTCCTCTGGACTTACCACATGCACTTGATTGACAAATACAGTGTTTTACTTGAAGAACTCCTTTCCGTTGGCCGTAATGCAAAACTATGCAACCTAGTATATGATCCTTGGTGAGAACTTATCATGATCACCAAGAATTCCCCTTATGCTATCTTTCTTACCTGAAATTCTTGTTGTTAGATATTTTAGGTAGAAACCTCATTGAGATACATTTCCAACGTGTCTCCACAATCCGACGTTTATTTATTCACTAATACCTGGTTAACGTGATTCCCGGCCGACCGGTCACCTCATGAAAACTTCAAAAAATCACAATTTTCAACAGCAAATTTAGAGCCAAAACAATAATAAATTTGACTATCTAGCTCTCTCAGGGCATTGGTTAATCCTGTGTCCTTTCGTATTACAGCCAGAACAAGTAAACTCGCGGCGAATGGTAGACATCTGAAGTAATTCAGGTTCAACCATAGCTTCTATAGAAGTTGGATCCAAAGATATATACGTAATCACTACCACAGTCTCTCCCAACACCAATATCATCCTGAATCTCTTCTAACTGGCGACATCAATCAGAGAGAAAATATGGTGATAAAGCAATCGGACTGTCATATTGTAATGGTACTGAATCTCTCTTTTTGTAGGTAAAGAGAGATTATCGGATCAAGGTTCTAGGCCTAAATCGATGCGAGATTTAGATTTCTCTAGCTTTTTAATTGTCTAGAGAGAATCAGGGTCGCTATCACTGCCGGAAGATGGTGGTCGACTTGGTGGTGATTCAAGAGGTAATAGAGATTCAAGCTGAATATTCAACTTTTCTAACACATGATTCGGATTAAAAAGGACTAATCCAGTAGCTAAAAAGCTATTTGGGATAGTAGTCTCCTTAAAAGTGTCATATCGCACTATAGGAAAGATATCAAGGAAATCTTCTTTTTCAATCGAATTGACGTTGAGTCTCATGTATTCCGCCACCTTACCTCCATACATACTACTTACTACACAGTATACTATTACTGTAAATGGGTAAGATTTCACTTGCTTTTTTTATAATCAGTAATTCAACTCCTAGATAGAACCCCTTTACAAAATCCAATTCCACTACCTCCCTTACAATGTCAAACCGTCCCCTCCCAAACCCCAAGACCATCTCGAAGTCCGGAGTATATCTCCATCAGTAAACAGACCCACATCATGATCTTCTCTTCACCGCCTCGATCCCCCATCCGTCCGCCCGGCAAAAAAAGCAAATTTCCAAAAATTTGCCCGATCGACAATTTTCAATTCTTTGAATTTCTTTTTTTTCAACCTTCCTACATTTTCTTCTTCTCTTAGTCTACGGGCGTATCTGTGGCGCCTGGATCCAAATCTCGTTGTTTAAGTTACTTCGTTCCATACATACACAATGAGTGACAAGAAGCGCAAGAACGTCGAGGAGCAGGCCGTGCAGCCTGAGGGCAAGAAGGCGCGGAAGGAAGAGAAGAAGGACAAGAAGGAGAAGAAAGAGAAGAAGGTGAAGGATGTTGTTGAGGAGGAGGTGAAGGAAGATAAGAAGGAGAAGAAGGACAAGAAGGACAAGAAGGAGAAGAAAGAGAAGAAGGAGAAGACGGAGGAGGAGCCGGAGAAGGAAAGCAAGGAAGAAAAGAAGAAGGAGAAGAAGGAGAAGAAGGAGAAGAAGGAAAAGAAGGAGAAGAAGGAGAAGAAGAAGGAACAGGAAGACACGCCCGCCGCGGACGCAATGGACGTTGACGAGCAACAAGACGAGCCCGCCGAGAAGAAAGAGAAGAAAGACAAGAAGAAAGACAAGAAATCGAAGAAGGAGAAGAAAGAAAAGATCACCTCCGACGACCAGCAAGCAGAGCAGGAGACGACCGAGTCGCAACCCGCCGAGAAGCAGAACCGATTCATCGTCTTCGTCGGTATGTTTCGCAATATCTCCTCCCCCACCACCCTCTTGAATTTACGTCGCATCGACTGATCACTTCCCTACTCCAGGAAACCTCCCCTACTCGGCCAACACAGAGTCGCTGAAGAAGCATTTCGAAAAGAACCCACCTGCCTCGGTGCGCGTGGCCACGGAGAAAGACAAGCCCACTAAGTGTCGCGGCTTCGGCTTCGTCGAGTTCGACCACTACGATCGCATGAAGACCTGTCTGAAACTGTACCATCACTCTATGTTCGACGACGGAAAGTACCCGCCGAGACGAATTAATGTGGAACTTACGTACGTCTTTGCCTTGCCCCTGTTCTCTTGCTTATCTTATTGCTTTTTTTGTGCGTGTGTGTTAGTTGCATTGCATACATACACAACACCGGTGTCACCGGTCACCGATTACCAGTCCAGTCCAGTCCAATTTAACACCCCACTAACACAAAACCTTTCCCCTGCAGGGCCGGCGGCGGAGGTAAATCGGACCACCGCAAAGCCAAGATCGAAGCCAAGAACAAGAAGCTGGCCGAAGAGCGCCAAAACAGCCTGCACAAGGAGAAGGAGCGCAAGACGCAGCCCGAAGAGAACGAGGTGGATGAGTGGGCGGGCATCCATCCTAGCCGACGGAATCGGATGGCTTAGAGCCTGAACTTGAGATCTAGGGGAAACGAGATGAGATGAGAGGAGAGTCTGGGAGAGATTCAGAGGCTCTACTTAGCGGAGCAGTGGAATGCGCGATTTACGTTACATCAACTATCATACCCAAGGTGTTTTGCTTGTCTTTGGTCGACGTTGTTGGATTCGTTGGGTCTAGATCAAAAGTATTTTATTTGGTTGTTTTTTTTTTCATGTTTGTCTTGCATGTTGAGATATCCTTTGCGGTCTGTTGAATGTGGTGGACATATTAGACAAGAGGAAGCGACAGGAAAGTATGTGACTAAGGGAGGATGGACAGATCTAGATATGTAACTGTCATCGTTTCAGATTCTAATACGGTGTGGAGATCATCAATCAGGCCCCGGACTGGGGACACACCTGCCGTCTTGCATAATCAAACGACACTCTACATTGGTGCTCTGTGCTGTGCTCCATACTTGGACGATCAACGCCGACCAGTTCACCATTTCCAGAACAATAACAAGACATGACCAGAAAAAAAAAAGAAAAGAAAACAGAGCACGACAGTCACAACCCATGTCGACATTCATTGCGTGATATTGTATGGCATGTTACATCTTTATACTGCATTATGAAGAAGAGAGGGAGTCAAGAAAAAAAAATTGTTGGAAGGGGGAAAGGGGGAGGGATAATGTAAGGGCGTCCTGCTGACCCTGGGAGGAGAAATGCATCAAGGGTCATGGCAAACCAAGAGATGGAGAAAATAAAACAAGACAAGACAGTTCAAAAGTCATCATACTGGGGACAAATCGAGAATCCCCCATCAACCCAGACGCCGGATTAGTTCTTATATTATAAGTCGGAAGAGAAAGTAAGGGGGAATAGATGAATCTACAAAATGGAGCATTTGCTCTTCTTGGGTTTCGTGGCCGGCCGAGGATTGAGGACCGCTCTGAAGACGGGGTGAGCATGGAGCGCATGAGACAAGGGGGAGAGGAAGAGGGAAATCACATACCGAATGGCTTCGTCAAACACACTCTTCAGGTTGCGCTGCGTCAGGGCAGAACACTCCAGGTACTTGTGCGCGCGAATCTCCTTGGCCACCGCCAGGGCCTGCTCGTAGGAAACCGGTTCCATCTTCCGTTGGCGGAGAGTATCGATGGTGCCGCGATCGTCTCTCAGATCGAGCTTGGTGCCGACCAGGATGATAGGGACGTTGGGGGCATGATGTTCAATCTCGGGGAACCACTGTACACGGATTAGCTGAGGGTCGACGCTGTGGAAGGCATGGCTGGGTAGAAAGCACCTTGGCCTTGACGTTGTCGAACGAGGGCGGGCTAACGATGGAGAAGCAGATGAGGAAAACGTCGGTCTGGGGGTAAGACAACGGGCGAAGTCGGTCATAATCTTCCTGTCCAGCAGTATCCCAAAGTCCTAGACTGATCGGTCGGCCATCTACCATCACACTGGCGGTGTAGTTATCGAATCTGGAGAGCGCGGCAAGGTCAATCACGCGTTCGCATTAGACGGGGGAGCTACAGGGGCGGGGATTCAGGGCCACGAACACGGTCGGAATGTATTCCCCGGGGAAAGCGTTGGTTGTATAGGAGATAAGGAGACATGTCTTTTTTTGCGACCGTTAGCCTGGGATAGAGCTGGATGCGAAGTTTTTCGAGACACTCACTTTCCCCACAGCACCATCACCAGTTACTACACACTGTTTTAGAGTCGCCCGTTAGCCGCGGTGTCGGTCGAAACGGACGGAGACGCCCCGAGGTGAGAGATGTCGGCGAATGCTGACCTTCAAAGACTGAGTAGCGGGACCCGTGGCCATGGTTGATCACCGGATAGGGAAACTTTGCAAAGGGGTCGTGATGACGGAGAGAAGTGCGACGACGAGGTGAGAGGTCGAGTGAGGTCCAGGAGAGAAGACGGCGCGGGCGTGGTTGGGCGGGCGGAACGAACAACGGCCTATGATCGGGAATCTGCCAGAGGAACCAAGCCGGGGCGATAAGTTGACTGCAACAGTTGAATTGTCCGGGAAATTGAGGTAAAAATGCTGAGATGCTGGCAATGATCGAGGAAATAAAAAAAGAACAGAACAGAACAGAGCAGAACAGAAAAAAAGACCCCAAGAGACGGACCAAATATGCACAGGTGAACGGTGAACACGGAGGGAGGGGGAGTGGTCTTCTGTCGGTGGAAGTGTGGAGAGAGGGAGAGGAAGAGAGAGAAGGAGGGAAGGGAAGAGAAGGGCGAAGGGAAGAGAAGGGCAGAGGTCAGAGAAAAAGGACGAAGTGGACAAGGGACAGGGACAAGAGCGACTAAGCCCGGCGAGAGGGGGGAGCGTTTGGTTGGATTACAGACGGCGACGAGAAGCGCCAAAAGGAACGAAGAGGGGGCGAGAGAAGCTCAGTCGATAGCTCACCTGCGCGCTGATTGGAACGTCAATGGCAGACGATGTCCGGTCTGTGCAGATTGACTGGGAAAGATTGAAGGTTTGAGGGACCGAGAAGAGAGAGAGGACAGAAGAAAGAAGACAGAAGACAAGAGCAAGGGGAGGTACGGGTGAGGTACTTGGCCAACAGCTGTCGGTGCGCCTAACGGTCAAAGTAGCGGAGAAGTACCCTCTGGTCACGATGGAGTAGGTCCTGCCAGAGTCTGAAGTAGAGTACGGAATACGGGTATAGGGCATACACTGAATAAAGTACAGGAGGTCTGCCGATTTCCCTGCTGGTCTCGGACTGCAGAAGCTGGCCTCCTGCTCCTGGTCACTTTCATGGTTCGTGATTGCTGGTTCAGGGGGTGGAGAACTCCCACGTCCGCACCGGCTTCCGAGCCCTGGTCACTTCCCTCTCGGATCCTGGAGTATATCGATGTCTATTATCTGGATTATATTGATAAATATAGTCCTGATCATAAAAATAGACGCAACCTGCCACCGGTCCGCATCGTTCATTCTGACTTCGGATTCTTATCTTGATGGAGATTTGATCGAACGGCTGGCGGGTTCCACTGCTGACCGCCACCGAACTTACTCCGTCATAGTCTCGAGACGTTAGTCTCCTAGAATTACTTCTCATATCTCAAGGCCTCATCACCGCCACCGACTCGTCCAGAACCCCATTCCCAACCTTCACCTCGTACGGCCGCTCCATCAGTCCCGACGCCTTCTCGCCGAATTGCTGGAAATACGGTCCCAGCAGGTGAATCTGCAGCGCTTCGTGGTCTCGGTATCTGTGATCGCCAGGGGTGAGCTCCATTCATACAAGATCTCATGCAAATGCGAGATTCATTTATTTCTCCCCATTCAAAAGAAACAAGAAAACACCCACCTCTCGACAACCATAATCTCGCCGCCGTTATTGATCGAAAAGGCATAGTACACCAGCGTATCCGGTTCGTTGGCCTGCACCGCCCGAGACAGTTCGGCGAGGTGCGACGCAAGCTAGATTTTAATGGGATTCGAGTAGTCAGTCGTCGTCTGTCTAGATCTCATAGATAAACCGGTCGGTCAGGCTGTGGGGACGCACTTCGTCGTGTTTACCCGCCTTGGGATACATGATTGCCACCACATTGACCTCGTCGGACATTTTGAGGATTGCTTCGATAGGGAGCCCAGTCCTGATTCTAGTCCGGAGGGAGGTGTCGAGAACGATGGGCAGGCCGTCCAGCTAGAAATAGATTCTCGAAGGAGCTCTCTCTGTCGCTCAACGCAAGGATCGAAGGAAGGGAGAGCCGTTCACAGCTCAACATACCGGGGACGGGGACAAGGCGCATGTGGGGTAGGGGAGTCTGACTAACTGATCATCCCCCCAGCAGGCAGGGCTGATCGGAGAAGAACCCAAGGGGGATTCTAGACTCTCTTACTCTCTCTCTCTCTCTCTCTCTCTCTCTCGCTCGCTCGCTCGCTCACCCTGGCCCACTCTCGCTCGCGTAAATGGTATCTCATTCATGTGTCTATACGTATATACAGTACAAAGAAAGATATGGACAAGAATTTTACACCCGGGACGATGGCAACAATGCGGTCCCAGGCTGTATACGGAGTACACTCCAGAAGATGCACAGCAGTTACATCACCGGAGGAGCGACAAACGAGTCGGGAATCCCTTCAAACACCCAATTCAGCGAGTCGAATACCTCCGAGAACCCCGCCTCGCTGATGAATGCCCCTTGGTCGAAATTCGTCGCGTATATCAGGCTCGGATCCTGGAGCGAGGCGTCTTGCTGGCGGGTGACCGGCCCTGTCGTCGATAGGTTCGGATTGGTCATCGTCCCTGGATCGGAGTGAGTAATGGATCAATGCCCTAACTGGAATAAGGAAGCATACCTTGTGCATCTTCAATGCTCTTCATCGGTCGGAACCGCTGCCGCCATCGCCAAACCGTGTCGTACACATGGCTCATGCTCATGCGACAGCGGACCTTCAGCTGCAGGGCATCTTTTCCTGGAGAGTCCTCCGCCCCGCCGGCGTTCCACATCTGCGCCAGGATGTCCGCGAGCCGCACCGGACGGTCGTGGTCCATGACGCTGATGCGCCGGATGGCCGAGATGGCCCCGTTGAACAGCAGCTTGCCGTGGTCGAAATCGATGTGACGACTGAAGCTGCTTTTCAACAGCTTCATGAGAGCAAATGCGGCCGAAACGATCATCTGAAGAATATAGTTGGTCGCGTGACCAATGAGCTCACCCGGTGAGGTCTCTAGGTCGAGTACTCGTCCAAGGAAAGACGTCGTAGCGATGAACAGTTTGGTCAAATCGTCACTTCGTGCATTAGATCCGAGGAAGACAAAGTATCTGAGATGTAATTCGGCGGCTCGTAGATGAATCATGTTGATGTCTGCACAGGCATTAGAGACAACATGTTGAGAAGAGATTTGGGGAAAGGTACGTACTGGAGATGTCTCGGTTGAACTCCACTTCCATATCGCGGAGTTCATTCTCCAATAGCTGCACGATCAACAGCTTTTCCGAGCTGATGAACTCGGCCGGCTCGGGTTTGCTGCTATACAGAGACTTGGTGACCCGATCGCAGAATTTTTCAATCCGCAGTCGAATCCGTAGATCGTCGGGTAGCTGGTAGTCGGCATCTCGAAGAGACGGTGGCTCCAGGGCCCAGTCGTAGATCGTGCCGGGGGGTTGTCCGTAACCGGTGGCCACGCTATTACACATCACACGTTAGCAGGTCCGCGATGGACCGAGTGGGAGTGAACGTACTTCTGGGCTACTATGTTACAAATCACCCACGTCTGCAAACGATCTTTGACCGCTTCGCCCTGAATCTCCATGCGGAAGGTGGTGAATTCTTCCGCCTGGACGGGACGGTGCAGACCGAGTTGCATGGATATTTGCATCATCAGCCCGCTGAGCATAAAAGTGGCGTCCGTTCTCTGACTCGTCGTAGGCAGCGGCCACGTGCAAAGAAGACAGAGAGCCTTCACTATTCGATAGTCCTGCGGGACTCCAGTGATAGTGGACCACAGCAGCCGGCTGAAGGGCCCCGTGAGCGCGCTGAGCAGACCGGGTTCCGACGGGGCTCGGCGGCTGGCGACGCAGATGATTGTCCACGCTTGAAGTGGACATCGACGCAGATACTCCTCCGGGGGTTTCTGAGGGTTCAGCAGGGGTAGAAAAGGGTGGTAATACTTGAAGTACCTGTACTGATGTTAGAGCCAATGAGCTGTTCAGTCAAGCCAGGAACGGTGCATATTACTGGTCGAATAGCCGGGCTACTCGCGGTCTAGATAGTGAGACATCTTCCAGACTCCACTCGTTGGTCTCTTGAGAGAGGATAGATGCATCTCGGTGCATCGTCATCGGGGTCGCCATAGGCTGCGGCTCCAGCGGAGCAGACAGCGGTCGTGACCTGTTAGACACCGCCGAGTCCGGGCCACAGAACACATCTTCGGAGCACTGTGACATCTCGTCACTGACGTTGGCTTCCGCCGCATGAGGATGATCACTGTTGGTGGCTAGACGTCGGCGGAGATCTACAATCTCCCGCTCCATCTCAGCATTTCGCCTGTAGGTGACATGCGTTAGAAAGCGACGAGTCAGAAGGATGGATCCAGACCGGTGTTACCTTCGCTTAGAGATGCGTTTAAAAGTCGGCTCGACCTTGCATTCTATTTGAAGCCGTCGGCAGCGTGAGCAAGCCGCCGCGGGCGTCTGCACAATGTCACACCGAAGCTGTTGAGCACCGATTTCCCCCCCATTTTTTAGCCAGCCGTCGAATCAAAAAATAGAGGTCGGCGGGTGAGTACTCCGTAGGTGCGTAGGGAAGCATCGGCAGCAGGGTTGCTACATGGAACGGGGGCCGTGTGCGTAGGGTGCAGGATGATCGATCAGAAAGCAAGAGGACTTGGGCTTACCTTCTGCTGTTTACACTCATTACAGGCCTTTCTACTGCCACCACGGCGCTTCCCCGTGACCGGGGGCGTCTTCTCCATGGCGCAAGGTTCGGAGTTCCTGGCAGATAGATCAAACGCAGAGACCGGCCGGGGAATCCTGGGGGTGTTCCGAAAGTCGCTGGGAGCCGAGGATAAAAGACCGGCATGGGTAGGCAACCCATTCGGGGACATCAGAGGCCGATAGCCCAGATCCATCGAGATAAAATAGAATTCGCCCGCCGGTATGGAACCGCGGGGCGTGAGAACACATGCAAAATCGAGGCGAAACGGTCAGAGCCAGGCCTGAAGTGCCGGAAATCGGCAGAAAGTCTGGGGGAGAAGTGGAAGAAAGTGCCAGGTCCACAAAAATGAGCGTCGCGAAAGTCGGCACTTCCGCCGCTGACTCATCCGTCCGTCCTCTGTCGTGCCTGAGGCAGCGCCGGACGGACGCTGGAGTGGCCCGCGATGCAGTGGATCCGGAGAGTAGACAGGAGGAACTAGGAGTAGCAGGGGAGATGGCTGTTTGATCATGAGTTTATTCTCTGGATCCTGTCAGCACAGTCACTTGACTCGTGGCCAGACTAGACTAACTATGTTAACTATGAGGTGGTGCCTGACGGTCTGACCAGCACAGACGATGACGTAGGTCGCTGCGGGCCACCGGTACCTGAGGCATTGAGGCACCCAGGCACTGGGGGCTGCGCAGCCACCAGGCCCTCAGGCCACAAGGCAGGCATTACATAACTCCGGCCTTAGGCTTCCGTCATTCATTCGGCTGCCAGACTCCTTTTACTTCCTGCGCACTTGTTCGTTCTCCCCGTCCTTTGTTCTGCTCCCTCTAACCCCGCCTGGATATCCCGTTACATTTGTGTTCCCCGACGCTCTCATGGCCGAACCTCTCCACGATAGTCCGGTGCCAGCGTCGTCTTCCCCCCGGGGCCCCGATGCGCCACCGTTGAGCGCGGATTCCGGGCAGTCGGCGAACTTGGATATCCGTCCAGGCCCACCGGCCATGTCCGAGGAATTGAAGGCTCGTTTGGACAAAGTCATCTACTCGGATGTTAGTGGGATGCGATCTGATCCCAGCCCCCCTGAATTGACAAAGCCGCAAGTGCGCTGACTACAACGTCCCTTATAGATCGGCATTACCACTCTCCTAACCCGGCTAAAACAAAGCGTCGCTTCCGCAAGGGTGTGTTCCTGTTTCACCCCGCATTCCCTCCCTCCTCCCCCTGAATGAATTCCGTGTGCGCTAATGGGAATATGACATCAGGATTTCTCGACGTTCCTGAAGAAGCGATCGAGTTTGGAGGAGGAGCATGCGCAAGGACTAAGGAAACTCTCTCGCTCTCTGTACGATGCCGCGCACCGTTCCGATAATCGCCAGGGCACCTACGGCCAGAGCCACAATGACCTGAACCGCTTCCATGACCGCATGGCCGACCATGGGCTTCAGTTCGCCGTGTCCTTGCAGCAGATGGCCGACGATCTGCATGAGCTGGCATCGAACATCGAGCGGGGTCGCAAGCAATGGAAACAAACCGGTCTGAGCGCGGAGAAGAGAGTGATGGAAGCGGAGGCCTCGGCTGAGAAGGCGAAGGCCAAATACGAATCACTGGCAGAGCAATATGATCGCGTCAAGACGGGTGACAAGTCCGGCGGGAAGTTTGGCCTGAAGGGACACAAGTCGGCTGCGCAGCATGAGGAGGAGCTGCACCGCAAGGTACAAACTGCGGATTCGGATTATGCTGCCAAGGTGCAAGCGGCGCAGGCAGCTCGCCAGGAGCTGATTTCCACCCACCGGCCTCAGGCCGTTCACAACATGCAGCAATTGATCTCGGAATGCGATTCGGGGCTCACGCTGCAGCTGCAGAAATTCGGTGGGTCAATCTGGTTCCTCCAATGATCTCGTCTCGATGCTGACCGTTCTTGAAGCTACTTTCAATGAGAAGCTCCTGCTGGGACAAGGTCTCTCCATTAGCCCGCTGAAGGATGGGACCAACTCCGCCATCGCACCGAAGAGTCTCTACGAGGTCATTCAGACCATTGACAACCAGAAAGACTACAACGAGTTCATCCTGAGCCACGAGAACAACCCCGCTGCGGTAGCCTCTGAGCAAGTAAAATACCAGCGTCATCCGGTGAGTTTATCGCCTGAGCTCTTTGTGCCCCCTACTAATCTACTTCAAGACTCTTGCTGGCTCAGGACCGGTCGTCCCGGCCTCTCAGCCCAGCTCGCAAAACAAGCGCATGTCTATTCTGCCTCAGTCCTTCTCCACGCAACAACTCCCCCCTCCAAGCCAATCTTCCTCGCAACCTCCGGCCCCTAGCAGTCAACCTCATCCGTACCCCCAGGGACCCGACTCGTACTCTTCGCCTGCGTTCCAACAGCCTCCGTACCCTACCAACTCTGGGCCACCTGCCCCTGAGAAGGTCCCGTTGGATGGCGCCCCCTCGGCCCCTCAGCCTAGCCCTCTGCCACCACCGAGCAATTCCTTCCAACAACACCTGCCGCCGTTGAAACCAGTGTTTGGAATCTCCCTCGATGAACTGTATGAACGAGATGGCACTGCGGTTCCTATGATTGTCTACCAATGCTTCCAAGCAATCGAGCTTTTTGGTCTGGATATGGAGGGTATCTACAGAATTCCTGGCAGTACCAACCACATTAACCAGATGAAATCGCTCTTCGACAATGGCAAGTAACCTATGTTTCTGCCAGTCAAAGCTGTCACTAACACTTCCTAAACAGATTCATCGCAAGTGGATTTCACCAATCCCGAGAACTTCTACCATGATGTAAATAGTGTTGCCGGCTTGCTGAAGCAATTCTTCCGAGATCTTCCCGATCCGTTGTTTACTTCAGCTTTCTACTCGGACTTCATTAATGCCGCCCGTACGTCCTGGAAATCCCAAGTGTTTACTGAACTCGATTTCACTGACATGTCAATAGGTATCGAGGATGACGTCAAGCGCCGTGACTCGCTGCATGCCCTTGTCAACAACCTCCCCGACGCACACTATGCCACCTTGAGGGCCTTAACACTCGTGCGTACCCCAACTCCCCCTTGCTGTCTCAGCTCAATCTAACTCCGTGCAGCACCTGAACAAGATCCAAGAGCATTATACCCAGAATCGCATGAACGCAGGCAACATTGCCATTTGCTTTGGGTAAGTACTCTTTCTCGTCTCCATTCATTATACATGAATAGAACTAACAATACGAACAGACCTACTCTACTTAGCGCAAGCACCGGTGGCAACATTGCCGATGCAGGCTGGCAGGTCCGTGTCATCGAAACCGTCCTGGTCAACACGTTCCAGATCTTTGATGACGATTAGTTAATTCTTTGCATACTTTGATTCGTTGCTATCTATATCCTGTATTTCCTCCTGCTTCTTTATTCTACCCTTTCTCAACCCTTCTTGAATTTTGCATCACCTTTTTTTCCTGTAACTTTGGTCCTTCTCAACGAATGCAGGATTTAGTAGCAATTAAAATGCAGGTCAAGTGTTATGATGGTCTGGATTATTCATCAACATCTTCAAATTTTATAAGCCACTGGAGAATAAATACAAAATGTGAAGAAATGAGTAGTAGAACCCGGATATAGTACAGGTGGCGAAGGTATGGGAGATGCTTGAACAGTCCGCTGGGAAGTGGTACAGAGTACAAGATAGGAAGAGAGAGGGTGATGGGGAAGTGGCGTAGTTAGAAACACATGATTGAATCGGGGACCATGCCAAATCGTGTGTGCAGCAAGTGCCTCAGGGAGATGGTGTTAGCTTGGTTGGTTGTAGGGACCTATAGGGCTAAGAGGGCGACTGCCTCAGGCCGAGAAGAGTAGAGTCGAGGGGGTAAGAAGCCCCCTCTCTATTGACAACCCGACGCTTATTTCTTGCCCATCATCTGGGCCTTCATCGCCTCGACACGATCAGCGGCTGACAGCCCAGGAGCAAAGGCAGGGTCCATGAGCTCGTCGACGGTCGTGGGCGAAGTATGGCCCCAAACGCGCCAGGGTTCCTCCTCGCCGGTCCAGCGCATTTTCTGAATGACGATGTATTCGGTGCAGTCCTGCTGTTTGGGGGTCTCGACTGGGGCGGTCGACTTCTGGCCCTTGTGCTTCGACTGCGCCTGGACTTTGCCGGTGGATTGACGACTCGTGATGCGCACGATTACCTGACGGACTCCGGAGTTGGGCAATTCGGGGATCTGGGTGGCGCGGTCCGAGACGACGCGCAGGCCGGTGAGGAAAGTGCCAGGGGTGCGGTTGTATTTATCCAGAGACCAGGTGACCTTTTCACCCTTGGGGCGGCTGTTGATGCGCGAGCTAAGGCTGTTGGCGAGGCCTGTGCAGCAGAATTTGCGGAGTTTCGTGGCGTTGCCTCTATCAATTGGAACAAACATATGCGGTGAGCGTCGCCCCTGCACTGTAGATCATGATCTGAACTTACTCGGCGAATGTGGAGTACATCTGCTGGTGGAGGTTGCGGGCAACCTGTCGTCGTTCTTTCAGACGGAGCGGTAGTCCTTTGTTGATCCATTTGGAGTAGGCGAGCAGACTGTCGGAGAGGTGTTAATTCCTGATCGTCACGTAGGGGGGCAGTTTGGTCGTACCCTAGGAAGTTCTGAGCACCGGTCTTCATCCAAAGCCATTCCATCCGTAGACGCTCGTATGGTTGCTGGAAGATCGAGGGCATGTCTCTCCACAGCGGTCGAATGAACGTTCCCGGCAACAATCCAATATCCTGGGGCAAATCCGCTCGGCTCAATTCATGTCCTCTGGTCTTCATACTCGGCTGAGCCGGTTGTTTGACGGACACTTCGTTCGGCACGTAGCCACCAGAGCGCCGAACGGACTGCGAAAAGTGTCGACATTGGCGCGAGGCGGCAATGGAGGGGTACAGGTGCGCGAGGAGGGCATTGTTGGACCGCACGGTTGCCATTAGGGGCGCGGGGAACAGCGACGAGGCCATGGTGGACAGGCTGGACACGGACTAGGCGGGCTGGAAAGCAGCGAAGTCGAGGCAAGTCCGCGGATGCAAAAGAAAAGCGGTGCTCACGTGACGCGGCGGTCACCAGGACTTCGGCCACGCTTCGTCCATCTTTCTCCCTCTCGACCTTCCGTTTCGTCTCCGTCTGGGCGTCGTCACTGTCCGATTCGATCCGTTGGTCTTTCTCTCGTCCGTGACCCTCGTCTCCGGTAACTGTGCTGCCTTGCTTCCTCTGATCGTTGCACTTCTTCCGGCGTCAAGGCGAACTCTCGGGGCTTTTCCAATCCACCAACGGTCGATCAGTGATTACTACTACTAGAAGTCCGATTTCCGACTTCAATTCCCCTTCTGTTTTTTTTCCTTTCTTCCCAATCCTCGGGGCTTTCTGCGTAACGGCCGCATATGCCGTAGACTAAAGGCTGGCTCCTCCTCGTCGTGATGCTGCTCCTCCGCCCTTCTCTCTCCACGCTCCGTCAACTCCTGAACCGGACTTAAACCCGCCCTCCTATCGGACTACTCCATCCACCACCCCTCCTCCTTCTCTGTCCACACCTCCTTTCTTCCCCTTCCCTTCGGCTCCTATCTCAGCGGCGGGTTTCCGCGATAAAGCCGTGGCGCCCTCATCGGTTCCCTCCCACGTCGTCCCTCCCTCCCCGGCCTCCTCGACGTCTCAGGCTCCTAGCAGCCAGGATGTCGCTCATGCGCCCTCCTCCGCCTTGCATCCCCGAGTGGCCGTCATCCTCGGAGTCGATCGGAAATGGTACCTGCCTCTTATAATCAGCCGGGCTCTGAGCACGGTCCCGGCCGCCTGGTGGGGCCTGCGCTGTGCCTTTACCTTCTTGGCTGAATTGCTTCACATTCGACCGGGCATGGGACGTGAGGGGTGGGCGGCGGCGATCGTGGGAAGTGTTGGGCAAGACTGGGACGTGGAGAGAAGGTTTCGCGTGACTGAAGTAGCTTTAGCTATTATGTGGGTGAGTATACTTCTTTGTTGACTTCTCTTGTCGCTTGCTTTTGGGCCCCCTATAGCTAACATCATGTCTAGTGCTGTGCATCCGCATATCTTTCTTATTTCTTTGCTGATTGTATGATGTCTCGATGGTCGGTCTCCCCTCACCTCTTCCCCATATCTCCTCAACAAACCAAGTTCTCACCATTCGACAGGCTTTTAAATTATACCCCGCCAGCAGTTGTTATTCGTCTCCTGACCACAAACGGGTTAATCGCTTATATCACATCATGGGTTCTCTATCTCTCCGGCGCATCGTCCGATCCCCGTCTTCTCCTACCTGCATGGATCTCCATCACAACTGTATTGTCTCCCCATCCTCCCCCAAACACCCAACCAGATCACCAGCTAATCAAACCCACCCATGTCCCAGACCCTTACGTTCCTCTACCACGCCACGCAAAACCACGCCATGATCAAACGCGAAACGGCAGCCGCCCTGCTCGTCGTCTCGGTCGCCAGTTTCGTCAGCATGTCGTCGCTCCTCCTGCAGCTTCACCTGACGCGGGAGAACGAACCCGAAGTCCCTGTTTTCGTCATCACCAGGAAACTGTGGGATTGGGCCGTGGCGATCTTCTTGCGCATGAGGGTCGTGGAAAGTGCTGGGGAGCTGTAAGCAGCGTGTCTGTCGTCTTTCGTGGTCGATGGCATGGCTGGTGTGATGGGATTGTGTTGTGATTCCGTGAGAGAGGCGGGGGGTGGAGGGTGTGTTCGTCCTGTGGAGGATCCTGTCGTCGGTCTTTTGTACCATTTGAATTCTTTTTGCCTATCATGAAACACCTGGGACCTGTTTGGCTGTTTGTGTCGAGTGCATTGGAATGCATTCACTGGCGGGTCGTTTTATTTCTTTTGGGCTAGAAATATACACCTTTTGTGTTGAACTACACTACGTTTGAAGAGAGTTACTGTATAGTCATCAAGTAGGCAAGGAGATAACAATTCTCAATTGGAGAATAGCCATAGGCGACATAGAGCCCCGAAAGGACAGTGATAGTCAACGAAAGCAATATAAAGTCAAGTCTCGAAAGACATCAACTCAAGCAATGAATAACTTCATCACACAACACAACAATTCCCGAAAAGCAAAGGGAGAAAAAGAAATACGGAAAAGAAAAGACAATCACGGAAGGGAATAAAAAAAAGTAATAATATCTATGACGATATTGGGTATCTACCAACGCCTCGTTCCGTCATAATCCCATTCTGAAGTATAGCAGTCGAGTCGAACGAAAGACCCACTCTGTCATCAATCATACAGGGCGATTGATCAAACATTCAAGATAGTAGGTCATTCCGACAGAGGCCCAAGTCCAGTAAACCGGGCTCAGAGTGTGGAGGGCAGGATAAAAAGATGAAATGAGGAAAGAGGAAAGATAGAAGAATGACAGGAAAATAAAAGGTCTAAGCTCACCCCGGTCCACCCGGGATTGGCTTGCACATAGTATAGAAGGGTGCAAGATCCGACGGGCAGATATACCAGGGTTGCTACCACATGTCTCTCCTCGATCTAACCACTCTGAGGGCAACGCAGACTGGGAAGAAGGGGACCGGAACGGGGGGGCGCGGCGGCACGCTTAGAAACCGTGGACCTTGATGGTCTTGGCGTCCAGCTCGAGACCTTCCTTCTTGTCGGTCAAAAACTCCTGAACATCTTTACGCTGGTCTCCTTGCAGCTGAATCACATCACCCATCTCGGTGTCGTTGACGATGGTTCCATTGCAGGCTGTAAGGGCCGAGTTAGTGGTTGTGGACCTTTTGGCTGGGAGGGTGGGAATATTGTGGATTGAGTTTCATTGTGGGGCGAAAGGCGATCGATCAGGGAACCCGGTCGAATCGAAGGAAGAGGAAACGTACCGAATTTCTTCTTGATCACCTTCAGAATCTTCTTCTGGTCGAATTTCTTAGGAAGACCCTGGACGGTAGTCAAGGTCTTACGGCCATTGCGCTCTGCGGAGGGAAGAAAATCAGCTCAGGTTCGCGGTTGAATGGGAGGGCCCGTGCACAGTAACGCAGCACAGAGAAGAGGCCGCCACGGGACGGAGAGACAGAGACCAGATGGAAGAGGACAACGTACGCTGAATCCGGATATGGATATAATTCTGAGACTGTTTAGTCTCGCCGGTGTCTTCGTCAGCTTCGGCGAAGGGGTCTGTGAGGGCACGTGTTAGCCTTTCCGGGACCAGAGCAGAAAATCTACCCCGCCAAAATGTCATGCGCATTCCGTAAGCCTTGCGTCAAGAACCGGTGATACGATCACCCGCCAAGCCGGCCAGTTCGGTGAAGAACTGACCCGGTCGCGAGTGAGTCGCCGATCTCCGGTGTTCTTGTAGGCAGGAGTCTGCAGCACGACGTCTTGGACGGGGCCAGAGACAACAAGGAAAGGGAGGTGGCAAACCGACTTACCGAAGGTCTTAAGGTTTTCGATGGACATAAACTCGGCCTTTTGTCGTAAACGGCCCTTAAAAGCGGAGTATAGTAAAAGAGCGAGGGGGTAAAGAGCTGGGAAACTCTGGTGTAGAACTAGCGACTGGCGAGCGAGAAGCGGGAATGCGAAGGCGATGATGGTTGTCGGGAAGGAAGGTGGAAGATGGGAAGAAGAGCCTTTTGAGGGGCGCCTTGTGGGGGAAGGCGGTGTGTACCGGCCGCTAAGGGTGACTCAGCCCGTTGTGGCCTTGACACCTGACGAGGCCGGTCGTGCCAGGCAGGTGCCAGTGACTTTGCTCGCGCCTGTAGATTCGCGCAGAGAAGAGGTACCGAGTACTTCGGTCGTAGCGTGATCCGGGATAATCCCTGGTCCCTGTCAAACTTTGTTCTTTCCTTTTTTGTTCTTCTCGAAAGTCTTGGCATCCTTGCCCGATCCTCAGGCGCCAAAAAGGCAGTGTCCAATCTATATATAACCAACTCATCTATGCCTTCCGATATCACAATGACACCCTACACTCTCGACAGGGATCCAGAGCTCACTGGTACCACGTCTCCTACGAATTACAAGGCAAATGACCCTAATCAAACCATTCGGTCTTTCATAGACAGTCGTCTCCCGATCGATCCCTCCACCTCCGTCAACGGAGGTTACTCAGTCTGGGCTGATTCACCTCATCCCTACCAATCACGCCCGTCGCCATCATTTGCCACCACCCATAAACCCAGAGAAAAGCGCCGAACCCGCCGGGCTCTACTGGGGCCAGAACAGACCCGATGACAGTTCGTCGTTGCAACTCTGGTTCACAGCTGCACCCAGTCCCCTCAATCCCGCTCGGTTGGAGATCTCGCAGGAGCCGCCGTATACTGGGTAGGATCTAGTCCGCGCTTTGCCGTTGACTGGACATCCCTTAACCACTGCTGGAAAATTCTTCCGGTGGTGTACGACTACGGGAGTTCGACCACGGGAGGAAGTGTTGGTGCCACCTGGGATGAGCAAAGGATCATAGTCTTACCATGGGTTTCGTTTATGAGGACAGTACCAACCTAATGTAGTGGTGGTTTGGGCTGCGGATGTAACGTTCGTTGATCCATGTTGAGGGCTGGTTGTTTTGCTTGAAGTAGATATAGTCTCACCTAGAAGTGTTTTGAAACCGAACATCCTGGTCTAGAATGCTAGAATACACCCTGCATCTAGATCGATGTCATTCTCTTTAGTCACCAGGACTCACCTATCCACCCAAGCAGCCAGGTATACTTTACATGGCTAACTAGACCGAACCATTCCTCATACCGATATCATAAGGCAATATCATGATCGGAATCATGATATGTATCTGCACTAAACCCATCAAACAAGGTCCTATATTCTCGAGCGGTATCAGGATATGTCGAGCTGGGGGCCAATAGGAGAGAGGATGATAATGGTTATACTCTGAAATGGTGATAAATAATTGATATCGGACGTTAAAGCTTGAATTGCTAAATTGCGATACCTGAGTGTGACTACTAGTGACCGCAGTTCGTAGACTCTACTGGGACAATTACCTACCTATATTTAAGTTCCCCTTTCTGCAAATCGAATAGAGTATCCGTCAGGTTTTGGTAATCCTAGAGAAGAAACAAAAGTAGTTCTCAAGTCTAAAGAGATATTCCCAAGCTCAAATAATAGTGACTTAGGATACGTGGTATATAGGTGTATCCATAAAAAGATTGGTGCCCCTATTAGGAAGCTGGGGACCAGTTTCTAATATTTCCCATACAGGAGCTCCACACTTGTTTCTCGACTTTGATAATAGTTTATATCAAACTAGAGCGACGCTCCTCGGAAGACATTGCCCGAGACTTTATCCAGATAGTTATATGACGCTGAGGCCCAGAAAACTAAACCGGTTACTTGATCCTGATTAACATGTCAATTGATCCTTGCAAACAAGATGCTGATTTGAAACACCAGATGTAGGATTATTATTACATAACTATAGCATACTAGGGCTGCGGGACAGCAACATTCTGGCAGAAAATATGTCTCGTATACAGCGGATGGGCTCGGGGTATCTTCTGCGCTCGATAAATCTCCCACCCACTTTGATCAAGCCTGATGTGCATCCAGACTCTTCCAGATATGCCTGCTCGAAACGATAGTACAATGGTATCATGGAATCGACGCTTTTAAGGAGACGGAGACGGAGTGGGGGCGGTAGCCGTGTTGCTGCCACGGGCAGCGGGGGAAGGCATGAACATGGGGAAGTAGGTCTGCGCAGGTTAGAAGAGACATGTTGACATGGAGTTGGATATGGCGAGAACATACCACGACAAGGGCCATCACTTCAGCAGAAGCAGTCATTAGTTAGGTGTTCAGTTATGAGAAGGACTGGGAGACATACAAGACATCAGGACAGACATGTAGGACGGCGTCGATGCGTTGTTCTTCTGATCGGGGGTTTCACCTAGCCATGTCTGGAGGGAGAATACAAAGGAGACCCTGGAAGATGGACTAAGACATATGCTGCGGATCAAACCGATAACCGGCGACTTACCATCCAATCATCCTGCATGGACGCAGTGGTCAGACAACCGATCGTAGCTCATTATACTAGAAAGACATTGCATTGCGTCTCACCTGTTCCGGGTGAACATCTGTCGACATGTCAGCATGGGCGCAATCGCGACAAGAGCAAACGGGGCAACCTTACCGCAGCCATAGGCAGCGTGCTCGACATGGCGCCTAATCCACAACACGATCAACAATCAACAATACCACTCTTATTATCTCCGGGGAGCCTATGCGTACCGGTCATATCGGCGTCGTCCTTGCTCTTGGGAGGATCGACATAGGGGATGGCTAGAAACGGCGAGCACTCGATTAGCAACGGAGTCCGATGATGACCGCGACCAGGGCGCAGGGCGGCCTACCGAGATCCAACCTCCGCATATCCTTCTTGGAGCCCATTGTGGATGATCTGGAGATGCGAAACCGACGCTAGGGAAAGGCCGAAAGCTGGGATGCGGGATGGGCGAACTGGAGCGAACTGGAGATGAGATGAAGTTGGCCAGTCGGCGGAGGTGGACGCCAAGACTCAAGCGGCAAGTCGGGGTGGCTTCCGGCCTGAGGTATCAACTCTGGGGGTCTAGTACCGTCTACACACTATCCGTACTCAGTTAGAACTCACGTACTACCACTACGGAAGACGGAGTCCTTCGCCCTATCAACTCACCTCTACGGCAGTGTATTAATTTATCATGGTGTGGACAGATACGGGTGGTTGAGCTGACAAGCTGACCGTGTCATCGGAGTCGTACCCGGTCCCTGCTGTTTGCGATTAACACTGACAAGTCACACAGCCTGACTCCGATTGCAACTCCGTATCATTTTCGACTGCAGGACGGACGGTCAGACTCAGGCACTGAATCGTCGTCGGCCCCCACAGCCCATGAACATCTATGCATGCGATCTTCCGTCCGGTGTTGAGAGGCGATCACGTGTTCGAGGGTCGACTTGACAAATGCGGCAGTTGGAAGGAGTAACTCCCTAATTATCATTCAAGGATTCATGGATTGACGGCCATCGTGTCGGACGGAAAACCCGATTTTGGCTTCGAGTTTCCTTGCCTGATTTGTGCAATGGATACGGCCAGAGAAGCATTGATACCCAGGCAAAGCACCGGCCAGCCAGCCATCCCCCGGCGCTGATCATCGCCAAGTGGCATGACTTTGAGGATTGTCTGATCCTCTGCACTCCACTCCCCGGAATTTGGCATTTCCAGATCATGGGGAGTCAATCCTCTCCTGATCTCTTCCCCTTTTCTCGATTAAATTATTCGGAGTTGCATCGAGAAGGAGAAGAAAAAAAGATTAACCTAAAAACAAAGCCTTTCCCTCCGTAGTGCGCGCGATAAGAAAAGACAAGGGCCCTAAAGGCTCGGCATGGTAACAGGGGATAGTGTTTGCCCCAATGTAGACTGTCCACCGCATCCAATGCCTACGATAAGCAGACGGATTAAACCAGGCCATCCTAGCCGCATTCTGCGGTGCAACCGTCGAGCGTCACACGGATCCACCTTGGAATCCTCCTATATTCTCTCATATTCGCTGAGATGAAGGACCAAGCGCAGTTGCATACGCAGTACGGAGCATGCACGAATGAAACAGAATTGGACTGGTGGGTGCATGAAAAGGATCGTCGACATTAAATAATAGATGACGGGCTGGATTGTGGTGGTGAGACCAAGATCCAGGATTATGGATTATGGCAGGCAGGTCCGTCCTCACCGACCGTGGTGGACTTGATAACTACCTAAGGAGAATAGACGAAGTCTCGGAGCCTCTGAGGATCTCCAAGGGAGAGAGTTCGATCTCCGAGGATTAACCACAGCGATCGACCGGTATGAGGTAATAACCTTAACCGACGAGCAGCGATGCAGTGACCAGAGAACGATTAATCTCGATGAGAATGACCATTACACGTCAGGGAGACATCGTATGATGCCATCGCGAAGTCGGGACGGATGGGGCAATCAGTGCGGATGATGGGAGGATCATACACCGTAGTGAGAAATCATGAATCCAAATACTTCTGATGCCAAGAGAGGTACTCCGTAAGTGGATGGATTGCCGGAGAATCCGACAAGCCTGAGGGACCCATTCCGAGGAAATAATGAAGAAAGAATAATGCAATGGATTGTCCTGCGAGAGACAAGAGAAAGAGGATCCCCAGCTGACTCATCCACGTAAGGAGATGCTGGTAATATGGCGGTCACAGTCAGATGCCGACAGCCCGAAACGGCGGCGGAAAGGGGACGGCGGTACGGTCAGGGAGTGTCACGTACGGAAAGAATGGCCCGGCCAGTTGCTTCCGCACTTCCTCCGGACTTGATTGACTCTCTGACCTGTCGATTCCTCTTCTCTCTTTCTTTCTTTCTCTTCTTTCATCCGATCTTCTCCTTTTCTCTTCTTCTTTCCTTCCCCTTTCCCTTAATTCCTTCCCCTTCAATTCTTGCTCCCTCCTTT